GGGCCAGGTGTGTTGGGTACCAGCCCCATGGATTGGTGTCTCCTCAATGCACTTCTTTTGAGTCAGGTGTTGATTTTTTGGGGCTCTGATCTCTTTGCTGCCTTCTTGAGCCTGTCCCGAACCAGCAGGTCTGCATGGGGTTGGTTCACACCATGCTGTGTTCCAGCTGGAGATGTTTCCATCCCCATGCACAGCCCAGAACCTGAGCAGTTGCTGCAGGTGGACTCAGATGCTGTGGCAGGAGCTGGATGTGGCTCCTGGCAGGCAGCAGGGCAAACCTCATGCCTGGGTTTTTCACATAGTTGTAAACAGTGTCGTTTTTAGCAAGACAAGTCATTTAAGGCCCAGCTTCCTCCCTCTCTGGGGAGATGGGAAAGGTCTCTGGTTATAATCCACCTCTGCCAGCATGGCAAACTCTGCTGTTCCCCTCCTTGTCACTTTAGATGGGTTTTATTTAGAGGCCTATACTGAAAAGAGGCAACCACAGACCAAGGTTCCTCTCCTGTGGAGAAGGTGATTTTGATCTCCCTCAGCTCAGGTGTGGGCAGGGTGGAGTTTGCTACAGCCTCTTCCTTATATAAATGGCAGGTTGAGGCACAAGCTGCTTTTAAGAAGAGTGTGAAGATGCTGGAGCTGCTGCTGTGGAGCCTTCCCTGTCCTGTGAGAGGTACAAAAGCTGCTCCTGCAGTTATTTTGTTCTTGAGCAATACAGTTTAATGTTATTAAGAACTCCTTGCTTTGAGGTTTGGGTTTGAAAGTTTGGCTGGAAATCTGGGGGCAATGACCCTTGGGCTCAACATGGGTTCTTGGTGTCCTTTGGCTGCTGGTAGGACTGTGCAGGAGGGCTGGGCTAGTCCCAGTGCTGCAGTCTGTGGAGCAAAATCATGTTGAGTCCACCCTCCAAAGTGTTTGTTACCATCCCCTTCCTGAGCTGGGGATGCACTTGGGGCTGCCTAGGACAGCAGATCTCATCACTCAGAGTATGGCTCTGAGGTGAACACACCTGAGCTCTTCAAGTGCCAATGGGAAGATGAATATAAAAACTGTGAAAGATAATTTGGCTTCAATACCTGGTACAGTCTGAGCTCTAACAGTAGATGTGAGAAGCAGACTACATAGGAATAATTGTTCCTCTATCAATGGTGGAGATGCACAGCTCAAGTGATCACATTTATTACCAAGTGGTATTTCCTTGAGGTGAAATGCTCTGTTGGGAGGAGATGGATTCCAAATGTGTTGGTACCTGAATGAGCCTCTGCTGTCACCTGTGGGTGAACAAGGTGTGGGGTTTGGGTGCTGTGATGTTGAGTTGGTGGTGGAGTTTGAATTTGGTCAGCAACTGGTTGAAGAGGCTCAGCCCTGAGGGACATCAAGCACCAGCAGCTATTGTAGAGTGAGTGTAGAGCTGTCTGGAGACATCACTCTGAGGTGAGGCTTCAATCTGGCAGAGTGGTTAAAGCAGGTGCTTGGATTCCTTGACACAGGCAAGGGCTTTGCTGAATCAGGCAGTAATGGGAAGCTTATTTGGCAAGGAAATGAGAAGGACTGATGGAGTGTGGATATTATAGACTAGGACGTGGCTGCATTTAATCTATTTGTTCTGAACCAACAGTGAAGGAGAAGGTTCTGCTTTCCATCTGGGAAAGGTGTGAACACTGCCCTGCTCCTGGCTGTGCTCTTACCTTGAGCATGATGAGAATCGTGGTGCTCAGACTGTGATAACGTGCACCTGACATGAAGCAATGAACAGGCTGAGGCAGAATCATTCCTCTTACATTTATGCTTTATTTGGCCATATCTGTGTTACCATAATTCTGTAAAACCTGAGAGAAGCCAAACGATCCCTTATGGCTCTCGCAGGGTGTAAGGGCTGTGGTGTCCAGCACTGTGCTGAGGTCTTCACTGCATGGATGCTCTGGGGAAGGGGATCACATCTTGCAGGCACTTCTCAATGGGAGGCACTGAAGGCCTTTCTACGAGCATCAGGGTCTGGAAAAGTACTGAGATGAGGCCCTACCTATGAGGAAAGAAGCAGGGAGAGGCTTGGTTACAGCCAGCCACAGAAAATAGGTTGTAGCACAGACAGGGAAGAGACTGCAGACAGCACAGGGGTTTTGCCTGATGGGGAGATAGTGCTCCAGCTGAAGTTAAACACTTAACCTGTTTAAAATGAGGAGTACTTTTCTGATTGACTTCAGGAGATTCTTATCCTGCTCTAGTAATGAAATCCTGTGGTCTTGCTATGGTTTGTTTGTTGACTGATGTTTTCAAAGACTGATATGCCCTAAGGTAGACCCTGAGATAAATATCACTTGTTTTCTACAATACAGGACTCATGTGCTTCACTGAGGGGGACAGGAGGGGCTCAGAGCTCCTAGAGAAGCCCCTGTTGTGGTCAGGGAACCTTGCCCAACAAATGCAGAGGCAGTGTCTTCTCAGGAATCACTTTCAAGGTGGGGAGAAGGTGAAAAAATGCCCATGATAATAAACAAAGGGGAAGTAATCTGGGGGAGAAAGGTCCCAGGGCCCTTTGAGGTGAGTTCTGGGGCTCACACACAGCTGTGTGTGCAGCAAATCTGCACAGGAGATGCAGTTACTAATATCTGAGTGGGTTTGCCATGGGCTTTGCCTGCCCCAACACAATTCCCTGTGCCATACATCTGCCTCGTGTGGATGTGCTGAGCTGCCTCCTGCTTCCCCCACCCTGCTCAGGCTGGCTGGATGTCAGGTTTTGCATATGTAAAAATACAGAGCAGTCTTTGCCCTGAAAAGCTTGCTAGTGATCTCATTAATCAAGACAAACAAAGCGTATTTAGCTATTCCCACTCTCTGGAGGAAGGCTTCAGGTACTTAAATATGCATTTGAATGCCTAACTTCAGACAGCTGTTTCTGGATGTTTTTGCTTTCTCACAAGTAGCAGCAGTGACATAACCCTTCTCTGGGAGGGAAAGGTGGGGGAGCTGCTAAAGTAGGTGGGTAGCCCCAGGGAGCTGGAAGGGACAATCCCTGCCTGCACCAACTCCAACCTCCCATGACACATGCAGGAGTTTTTCCCATAGAGTTGGGATTGTTAGAAAAATCCAGAGCTTTCAGGTAAGGATAACTGAGCTGCTTCTCTTGAATGTGCCTCTGCTTTCCCGTAATGCTCCTTTACCCACCAGTGCTGGGAACTGGGCAGAGGGAAATTTCTGCATGGGATTGGGTTGAAGCCACAGGGGAGGAAAAGCAGTTTATTCACTCCAATCTTGGTACAAAGCTCCCAGGTGAGAAATGTCCCACTGAGCCACAACTGGCAGTGATTAAAATTAGCAGAGCCTTGACGAAGTTGTGAGGGATGCCAGGTTCTGCCCTCAGCATGAGGGAGTGGGAAGCACCAGGTGTAGGACAGGGACAAGTGCTATTTTAAAAAATGAGAAACCCTCTCATAATGAGGGGCTGTAATTAGAGTCCAGATAAGGGTGTCCTTGGGTCAAAGGTCTTATTATGACAGACTGGTGATGAGAAGTCGATGCCAGTGATAAATCCTCATATCTGATTCTCCTAATTCACATTTTAAATGATGCACCCCAAGGTACTTCCTCTAGAGACAGCTGATGATCTTTACCATTACTCTGATGTGGTCATGGGTTGTTATGCCAAGATTTTGTCTGAGTAATGGATTTGGAGCATTGGCTGTAGCAGGACAGGAATACAGTTTGTAGGCAGAAGCTCAGTGGTTTTCCTTGCAGGATGGTGGAGCTGCAATGGGTTTCAGCTGCTCCTGAGGAGCAATGCTTTGCTGCTGTTCATTGCACTTGTTACTGACAAATGGAAACCTGCAGCTGGGATGTCATGATGTCAAAGAATTAGGGGGGCAATACAAAAAAATTACCACTCCTACAGCTTAAATAGGTAAAACCCCTTAAAAACTTAAATTTGAGGGGGTATTTTAATTTGAGTTTCCCACTTATGGTAACAGGTTAAGTTGGAGGATAAATTTGTTATAAAGGTTTGTTAATAGAGGGCTAAAAAATTACATGAGATGCAGAAAGGCTGAGCTGATGCAGGGAAGACAGAGCTCCCCTGAGAGAAGCAGAGCCCAAATCTGAGACCAACCAGGGTTTTGTGGGTGCTGTTGGTGTTGGGCTTGTCCCTGCTAAGGTGAGTGTTGGGTGTGTGTGCTGCAGCTGCTGTGAGCACCCCTGGGTGCTCAGTGAGCTTAGCTTCTGTGGGGAGAGCTGGATTGAATGGTTTGTGATGACTTGTAGGAGGTGTTGAGAAAGAAAAGGGCTGGAAAAAAGAAAAAAAAAGCCCCACTCCACCTGCCCTGGAAGGATCCATGCTGTGCTGCGGGGAGATGTGCTGTTCCCATCCCGCTCCTGGCTCTGGTCACAGGACAATTCCTCCCTTGAACAACAAAGCTGCACCAAACCTCAGCCTAGTTTATCCATCATCTGTTTGATCGAATCCTTTTAGCAGGTGACAAAACACTTTCCTTTGCAGGAAACCAATCTCTGTTCTTTTCTTCAAAACCTCCCTCATTTACCAGAGCCTAAGAAATCCTGAGCCTTTTAAGTCTTAGCCTGTGTTTTTTTTGGTTGATTTTTTTTTCTTTTCCCCAAAACAATCCAAACCAGAGCCATATCGATAGATTATTTGAAGGAAGGAGGGAGCAAACCCAACAATACGAGAAGGGTAGGTTGTCTACGCCGCCGCGCGCGGCGCTGAGCATCCCTCGCACGCATCGGGATGCAAATGATTTCCGCCAAGCTCTCGCTTGTAAAGCTTGACAGAAAATAATGAGAAACACTAAATCTTTTATAAGGTCAACACTCAAGCAGCTGTCAAACAAGAAAAGAATTTAGCGAAAGATCCGCCAAAACTTCCATCGCCTCATTAAATCCAACAGGGCCGGGGCCTGGCGTGGAGAGCAGGCATTGGGGTGCCTCCGTTTTGTGTCGGTAATTTGCGGCGGAGGAAGAGGGAAGACGAAACAGCCGATGCCGAAGGGGCCTTGGGGGAGGCTGGGGAATCGTTAGTGCGCCAGGAGCGGCCTCGGCTCCTAATTGGAAGCATTGGGCATTATCAACGGAGGATTTGCCTCGGCTCCCTGACAGCTCTCTAGGCCTGGAATGATAGCCCACTTGTCAGTGTAAAAGACCATTAAAAACAAACCATTTTGATTTAATTGGAGGCGGTGTGCTGGGGGCCCAGGTGAGGCGCTTCATCAGCCGATGTTGGCTGCTGATGCCTTTTTCCCCCTGTATTGATGGCTTTTTTTTCTTTTTTTTTTTCCTCCCCTCCCTTTCAAAAACTGTCTAGGAAAGAGAAAGAGGTGCTGAAAGATCCTTCAGAGCCGCGTCGAGAGCGGCTTTCAATAGGGTTGTCAACAAATGCCATGACAAGTTAGAGAGAGGCAGGTGCTTTTAAAACAGACGTTATTCTGGCCAAGATGAGCTGTGCTCGGAGGCGACTGTTGGATTATTAGGGTTACAAATACTGTGGCTTTTCCTGGCACTACTAACGTGCTTAACTGGCTTAATGAATGGGGTTGAATATTTTTTTTTCCTCCCCACCTTTCTAAGAACAGAGGGAAATGCAGGACAAGGGAGCCTGGGCTAAATTATCCTTATTTGCTTCAAACCCAGGAAAATTTCAAGTAGCAATTTTTGGCTGATGTATTGGATGCCCCATGGAGATTTAGGATTTTATTTTGGCTTCCTGAAAATAATTGCCATAGGTATTTGCTAGAGTTTACTGATGACTTGGTTTGGGCAATAGTACGAGTAAAGTAGAATTAACTCACTGGAACTGTAACCTGGTGTGTGCCCCTCCTTGGCAGATGTTTTGGGGTCAGACCAGAGCTGGCAGCTTTCACACTGACCTCCAATGCTTGAGATGTGAATCCTGACCCTTTCCATGCCAGGCAAGAGTTTTACTTCAAGTTGTCTGTTGGTAAATAGTATCTCTGCAGAAGGCATAATAGGTTCACGAAATAAATCCCAAATCTATTTTAAAAGAACTTCTGTGGATTTGTGTATGGAGCAGTAGGTAGCACTGCAAGCAATGGTAGGTGTTTACCTGTGACCTAACATGGTGTGTGTGGTTTTAGTCTGATACAAATCATGAGGCTGAGAGCCCCAAATCTGCTCCTTCATGGGTGAATATCTCCATAACAGCAATAGGCATTGGTTGCCAAGACTTTCTTGTCAAGGAAGGTTTAGTTGAAGGTGTCACTGCTCATTGCATGGGATAGGTCTAGATAGTCTTTAAAGGTCCCTTCCAACCCAAACCATTCTGTGGCAGAGGGCAGAATTGGGGTGGGTGGAGAGGTTGAGTGTCCAGAGCACATTTCAAGGGATACTAGGAAAGGCTGTACCATGAAGATGCTTTGCTGTGATTTGAGCAATTGTACTGCTGGAAGCTTCAGCTATTAGGCAAAAAAAGAAAACCTCCAGAATCTGCAAGGAAAGGCAGTGATGATGAGCCTAGAGCCTGCATTAGTCATGGAATGGCTGTGGTGTGGGAGGTGACATCCTTGCTGGAATCCCCAGGGGAGAGGTGCAGGGATCATGCTCAGGGTAGCTGTGTCCCTGTGTCCATTTGGAGCCCTGAAGGGTGTTGAGTTCTCTTTTTGTGATGTGGTGACTGTAGGCAGGTCATCACTGAAGGCCAGTGGTGCTGCTTTGGATTGTCACTGTGGGGCTGGCACCCACCAGCTCATGTCACTTGGGCCATTGAACAGCCATCAGGTGACACAGATTTTAACTTTTTTTGGTCAGCCAGAATCCCAGCTGGAGAGAGGTCTGATCTGGTACCATGGTGACAGAAAGCTCCTGAACTCATTGTTTTAGTCTTTAAGGGCTATTTATGGCCCAGGAGACAAGTTTTATAACATTCCAAGTCCATGAAGTTTCTCTGTCCTCAAACCAAGGAGGACCAATGCCATATCTGACCAGCTCAGCATGTGCTGTGTGTATCAAACCCAAGTTATTTCAGCAGAATCTATGGCTTTTCTGCCAAGACAACAGTTGCAAGATTACATGAGCTGTGCTTGTCAGTTCAGCTCTTTAGGCAAAAATAGAGGTAAGGCATTAAAAAAAAATGCGGAACATTTTTGTGTGTACGTGTTAAACCTCGACTGTTAATTCTGACGAAGAATCAGGCTGTGAGCAGATATCGGATCCCTGGTGAGAATCAAATTCTGGAGCCCAGAATTTTGCTGCAAAGTTTATACAGTGGGGATTCCTCTAATTACTTTCAGTGGAAATTTACCTGACAGAGCTTTTCCAGGTAACGCAAGGCATACGCAGGAGAGCCGCTCAGCCGTTGACAGAGCCTTTGATTTTGTGCCAGGTTGCAAATTAAGTCTTTTGCCAAGGTACCCGAACACTTGCTCGTCAATTGCTTATCGCTTATTCATATCGCGCATCGAGCACAGCGCGTTTCATCTGCTTGGGAAGGCAGAGCATGTTGACAAAAGTGTTGTCCAAAGTTGCTGCATTTTCTTGCCTCCTCTTGTTTGGTCAAGTAAACAAGCCACGCTGAGTGGCTGTGCAAGCTGGAATTGTCTAATGAGCAAAGGAAGAAGCCTGGTGTGTGGCAGTGACACGCAGTGCATGGAGCTGTCTTGACACACGGGTGAATTCTGTTCTACATTGCTGCTGTGTGAGGTGTTGCTGCCTGAATCCTCCTGGATTGACTTGACAGAGCCCTGGGAATCTATTGCAGTGACCTGCATTGCCTTACTGGTTTGGATAGTGACTATCCAAAACACAGATGGAGGTAGCTGGAGTCTCACCTTGGGCTGACTCAGGCAAAGCTGATTATGGTTTAGGAGTTACAGTGGAGTGACAAGTTAATGGTTGGACTTGATGATCTTAGAGGTCTCTTCCAGCCTTGATGATTCTATGATTCTAAGGCTGTGGGGATGCTGCATCCTGGCAGCAATGTCCTTTCCAGAGTTTGGTTGACACCAGGAGTGCCATTCTGCCTAAGCCAGTGTGATACTCGGGATGAAACACAGGAGTATTTGTTTATGTCCATGCTGGGTGACCAAGTACAGTCTGCAGGGAATGTAGTCCCACATCTACAAATCAAGTTTTGGTGCACAGTCCCAGCCATATTGGCAAAACCTAGGAATCACTGTCAGATGTAGAGCAAGGCAGAGGCTTTTGCTTTGTGGGGTCTCTGAGGAAGAGGAGGCCAGTAGAACCATCTTGCTGAGGTGAGTAAGGAGTTAACTTTTGTTTGGTTTTGTTTAAAAAATAAAAAACCCACCCCAATGCAGCAACTTTGCCTAATGAACTGCCCATCAGGAGATGACCTGTTTGTCTTGGTGAGCTGGAGGGCCCAGGAGACCACAGGCCAGGTTGGTCCTCCAGAGCAAGACGCCGAGCAGGAGTGATCACCAGGGCTGGGAGAGACTGCAAATCACCCGGTTAGCTTAACAGTGTGGGCCATTATTCTAAAGCAGTGGGGCTGAAACCTAAATCCAAATGAAAATATAGTCAATTTGTCTATACTTTACTGACTGAATGACTATGTAATGTCATGCAGGTCTGGCAATGCAGCAGCAAGCAGAGGCAATTAGTGGGGAGGGAAAAGCTCCTTTGTTTTCTTCCCTTCTGCTTCTCCTGCAAGCTCTACCATGATACCAGGACAGAGGCTTGTTAGGGACTGAATGGAAAGTCCAGTTTGACCCAGTAGGGACAGCCACATCCAGTTTCTGCAGCTCTTTAAGGGGTCAGGGTGGGAATAGAAAAATCCTCCTTGTTTATTTTTATGGGTCTAGTGGAACAAAATCTCATCATCCTGCTGCCTGTTTTGGGTTACAATCATCTTGGTAGTTGGGTGTCCTGCATTGCTCCCCCCAGGCTCAGAGCAGGCCAGACTGAAAGACAGGCCAGACATCACCATTGTGCCAGGTGATGTGGTGACTGAGTGACAAGAAGGATGAGTGGCTTGAGGACATTGCACTGCTGCACCTTGCACAAGCCCCAGGTCACATGGAACTGAAATCCAAGGTGGGGCTGTGATCAGGGCAATGAAATCCCTGAATATTCTTGCCCAGATTTTGAAGGTGTTTGCAGGTCATGAGCATCATCTGTACTGGCCAGAGCAGGACAAGGTCACAGAAGATTGGTAGGAAGTAATACACAGTCTGCTAACAAGCTTTCTGTGAAGTGATATTTTGATGGTTGTTTTTCATACTGTTTTTTGCACAGTAGGATTGGAGTGTTGTAAGGATTAAAGACAGTGTTTTGGTCTATTGCCACCCTTGTAAGGGAGGGATTGACAGTGACCTCTGGAGTCCCTGGGTTTAGTTGAAGGGTTAGGCCAGTCTGGCTCTAAAGACCATTCTACCACCTGTGTGGGAACTCAGCTTTACAGAGGTAGTTAAAGAACAACTTGAAGATCACCAGGTGTCTTTGAGAACAATTGACTTTGTCTGGGTTGTTACTGCATTTAACTGGGTAAACATTTATGAATGTTCAAGAGAAGTTGACTTCCAGTGCATGGTTTCCTCCATGGAAAAATAAGTGAGTAACAAATATCCTGACCCAAGTTCTAACATTGGCTGTGCCTGTTAGATGTGCAGCTGGGGAAAGGCAAACCTTCTAGGTTATTGTAATGAGAAAGGAAGAGTACAGAAAATCTGCCTAGACTGTGCAAAAAGAGTTGTCCCTCCTCCCTGAATGCATCTTCTGGGAAGGAAGGAGAAAGTCAGAAAGAAGAAAAGACTTGGAGATTTGAGTGCAGAGACTGTGGGAAGAACCCAACCACAGCCACAGATGAAACAAAAGGGAAAGCAAGAAGCAAAACACAGGCTGAAAAATGAACAGTGATGGAAAGGTCTGGGGTGAGAGAAGCTCTAAAGAGGAGGCTTGCCCCAGTATCTCGTGTGACTTACACAATCTGTTTAACAGCGATCGGTCATGTTCTCTCGCTGACACCAGCCGCAGCAGCAGCTCTGTGCTGACAGGCAGTGGGGATAAATGATTACTGACATATGCTAATCGGACAGTCTTAGACAGGACCTAAGAGGAATACATCAAGGTGGTGCAAAACACATTTCTTGGGTGAAACTCTCCAACTTGTACAAGTAAATTAGCTTCAGGAAGTCACAAGGTTTCTTCGTTGTTTTAAACCGCGGTTAAAAATCAACAGCACGGCACAAAAAATAACCCCATCAGAAGAAGGGCCAGGGTGGAGAGCTGAGAGGCTCTTTGCAGTGGTATCTATCACTGCCACGTATGATTTTGACCACATAAACTCCCTGCAGAGTTTCTGTGCTTTCACTTTCTGGTGTCTCCTTTCTGTTCCACCTGCCCAGCTCTTTCTCCTTCCTTCCTAAAATGCCCCCAAGCTCTTCACTTGAAGTTTTCCTGTAATTTACACCACAAACAAAGCCAAACAAGTACCCCAGAGCACAGCAGGCTGCACAGATGAATTCAGGGAAATGTTTAGATCCCATTGCTAGAACAAGAAATCTTCACTGTGGCTCTTATTTGGATCAATTAAACGAAGTGTCACGCACATCTGTAACCTGGCTAGACCCTTTCCTTAGTCTCAGGGTAAATATTGTCAGTCAGGTAGTTTAGGGAGGTATCAAGAGTGCAGGCTTTCTGGAAAGCTCTAATTCTGGGGTGGAAAAGCTTCTTGTAACATCTGTTATGGTTTGAATTAGTTATGGTGAGAGCTGATGGAATGGCAGGGTACCAAAACACAAGTGTGATTGTCTTCCTTGTGCAGGACTGCCATGGGAACCCCAGCAGAGAACAGTGTACTAACAGTGAGATATAAAAAGATGCTTCTCATCTCATGAAGCCTGTGGAAGTGCACATAAGTTAGAAAATCAGTTGTTATTTGGGCAACTGCTGCCTCTATTCCAGGGCTTGTGGCCGGCATAAAATATTCCACATGGAAGCCCAAAAGGGGCTGATGCTTGAACATATCTGGGACTGTTCTAGGGTCTGGGTCTTGGAGAACTCTGAGCCAAGAGCTTCACTGTGTACTAAGGATGTCATCAGGGCATGTGGGCAAGGTTAGAAAGTGTCCCTGAGTTGAGTCAAGTGCTCTGTACCTTCTCGAAGCGGCGCAGGTGCCAGAAGGATTCCTTCTTGGCAGGTAGTGGGTGTTTGCGCAGGTATGAGCTGTAAGTGTCACGTACGTCTGTTAGCTGTAACCAGAGGAAAACAAGAGTGAGCTCAAACAACTGCACAGACATATACATCAGCTTGATGTCATGCAACACAGTGACATGGGATGGGCAAGACTAGAAGTCAGTTCGCACTGATGGTCACAAGTGCCTGATCTGGGTAGTCTTTTCATGTCCATGCAGCTAATAGTGGTAGTTAAAATATGCTGATGAGAAAAACATGAGCAGCTGTCAGCTCTGCTGATGTACAGCATCCCAGGGAGATGACCACTGCCTGCAGGAAGCCCTATGCCCTGAGCTACAGCAATGGCTCATCCACTGGCAGGAAAAGTCACATCCACCACCTCCACCATGGTGGGCTTTTCTGGCTGTCTGGTGTGTGTTAATCTCCTGATTAATTGCAGCTTGAAATGCTTGATTTTCCCAGCACAAGCCAATGCAGGTACCTGGTGAATGTCTTGGCCACTGCATGAAACCCTGGGGAATCTGTTTGCTCTGTGGTTTAGGATGTAGGTTTGTGTTGCTTAACTCAGTAATTGGTGGCTGCAGGCTTTGGGAACTTGATGGAGAGAATTTAGTGATTAAAACCATCAGTCATTAATAGATAAGGTAGGGATGCACTTTCCAACATCCCTGGCTGGTGTATTCAATAAAGCAGCTGCTAATTAAGGACAGTGTATTCCTGCACTTCAACTATAAAGCATAGTTTGTGATGGCAGTAAGCCCATTGAAATTGGTCATTACCATATTAGCTTGACTCTTCTTTGAGCCATTAACTAATAAAACAGTCATTGGCTGCTTTTAAATGATATTACAATACTGGTGTGTTTAACAGCACAGTGTTAACACTAACAACTGCTGTGGGTGCTGGCATCAACCACACCATGCCAGGGGCAGGGCTGGGGAAGGTTCTTTGAATGTTTGTTGGCTGTTCCCTTGTTGTGGCCATTGTCACAGGTAACCTGAGTAGAGCAGATGCTGTCCAAAGGACAACCCCATGCAGGGCTCTTGGTGTGGAGATGCTCATCTTTGTTAGGCAAAGATGATGTTTTCCCAGCTGAGCCCCCTTCCCATGGCTGGGAGAAGCCCAACCATTGTGGGGTAGGACAGTGAGGGGTTATGCCCAGTAGTAGTGCTGTGCACAGCAGGGGAAAGCACTGCTGGAAGTATTATCACCTTGTTCTTCTCCACTCGCTGGATTATTGTCCGGGCTCTCTGTTTTTCCATCCACAGTTCCTTGTATCTGTGTTGGAGGAGGTCAAATAGGGGAGTGGAAGGCCTGGAAAACATTGAAAAGACAACAATATAATCTCCAGGGTTAATACCTCTCTTTACCTCCCCATTCTGGTTCATATCTCTGCTCCTGGAATGTGTGACTGGTGGGAATATGAATAAAGCCTCACACTGGGGAAGGCTTTTGCTTCCTCAAGGAACCTCAAACACACCTTCACTTGCAGCTAACACACCACAGCCTGCACACACCTGTGATAAGCCGTAGCAGGACTGTGCCAGGGCATTCCCCTCTTTGCACAGCCTTTTACAGGGCACATATCTGCAGCTCTGTCCAAGCCCTGGTGTGCTGGAAGGACCATGGAGAACCACAGACTGTGGCACAACCTTGAGCCCTGCTATGATTCCAGGAGAGCATTTCCTAGGTGGTACCTGAGGAATGAAAGCACTGAATGGGGTAATGTGCAGAAGCAGAGAGCTGAGCTTTGGCATTGCCACCTTGGAGTTCAAAGAAGTCTCTCTGGCTGGATCCCCTTCAGTGGAAGAACCACTAGGTGCAGAAGTGTTTGCTGGAGTAACACTGCTTCTGCTGTTCTAATCTCTCTACTGTGATGAACCAAAGTCTTCAAACAGATGCAGTGATGGATTGGGTGAGAGGAGTAAGTGCTGTTCTAAGCAGTCTGAACAGGAATAAAATTGGACCCAATGCAGATGGTCAGGTGTCTGCAGCAGAACAGGGAGCTGAAATGCTGAGCCCTGGTCTAGTGCCTCAGCTGCACAGACCAGGTGTATTTGCCCTTTGAAACAGAATTCCAGGGAGCAGGCTGGCCAGGAGGAGACAGCAGCAGAGAGGACCTGCACATGACTCTGGTTCTAGAAAAACAGTAAAAAGGCAGTTGCTTGTTGGCCAGTCTGAGCTGGCATTAACCTGACCAGCTTGTGGCAGAGCTGCAGCCTGAAATTGTTGAGCCTTGCTCCTTGCAAGTGAGGATACTTTAATTTCATCAGCCACCATGGGAGGCAAACCTGGCAGTGGCAGCAGCAGGATTCTTGCCTCAAGAACAGCGTATCAGTTATTGATGTGGTCCTGCTGCTATTTTTTTCCCCCAGAAGCAAACATTTGAGGGTGATGGAGAACCTCAGCCTCAAGTTTTATTGCTCCTTGTCCTTGCATACCTTGCTGAGGAGGGACTTCTCTCATCTCAGCAGCAGCAGCTGACTCTGGAGCTCTCACCCTTCATGCTGCTCCCACCTGTAGCCCATAGTGCCTTCAACTGCAGCTCCCATAACAGAGGCAGTGCTTCCCCTGCTGTCCAGAGCAACACAAGGTGCTGTGGACTTGACTGACTTCTGGGCTGCTTCTAGGCCACCAGCTCCACCAGAAGGACTTTTTTTTTGCTGCAGAGAGCCCATGTGCTCTTTGTGAGTTGGTACTTCAGGGCTTTTGGCAGCAGTGGGTCCAGAATTGACAGCCACCAGCTTTTAGCAGTCTAGAGAATCCTTGATGATCCTTGGAGGGTGCCAGCAGCACGTATGCAAATAGTAACTCTTCTGTTTCTTGTTCTTTCACCCCTGTGGTGACTTTTATTACTTAATTATTGCACACCACATGCTTCAAAACAGCCTAATCTATGGTCGTGTTTTCTAATGATGCTAGATGTGCAATCCAGCAATATACATCCCAAGGGGGCATTCATATCAGAGGAGACATCCTTCTGCAGACCTCCTGTTTTCATAGATCACATGCTGCAGGGTTTTTCAAGGCTTTGCTTACAAATCAGCTCTGCTGCTCCAGACTGTTATCTGGAGACACCCAGTGCCAAAGGCGACACCGACATTTACCCTCTGTCCCCTCTTCTTTCCCCTCCTTCCCTCCCAGTTTGGCATTTCGTACTCATCAGAGCTGAGCAAAATATTTAAAAAAGGTTAAAATATGTGGTAAGCCTGTGGTCAAGTGTTGTATTGTCCATGTGGGTCTCCAGTCTCATTGTGTGGTGTAAATTTTGGTGTTTCTGACACATGCACACAATGAGCCTTGTACATAGGTTTGTTTCCTCCTTTCCCTTTGCTCTCCAAGGCAGGAGCTTTCCTGGCGTGCAGGAATAGCAGAGAGGGCTGCAGGAAAGCATTGAGCCTTTGTGTAGCCTTTGATTATTGATTTTTGTGGAAGTTGAATGTGTTTTCACATCTCTATGGAGGTGACTTTTCCCATCTCCAGTGGACCAGCCAGTTGGTGACTGATTAGTCCACAGCTGGCTTGTAAGTAAATGCTTGAAAGGACACATTTGGGTTGATGCTCTTCAGAGATCCTTCCCTGCAGTGTGATTAATCGCATTTAAGTCCTGATCCAGCAAAGTATAGACTCATGCCTGGAATGATACACGCATGAACTGCCTCTGAAATCGGTGGGAATGACTCGTGTGCTTAGTTATCCACGTAAGCTCTGATGGGGCTGTAGGACATGAAGCTTTGTCAGGCTTTTCCTGCCTCCTTTGAGACAAACACTGAGGAAGTGGGGAAGAGCAGGGGATATCAGGTAACACACTTCCTTGACTAAGGTTACTGGAGGAATTTCTGTAAGGTGCCTCTTTCTTTGTAGGTCAAACACTGATCTCATTGAAGTGGATGGGGAGTTTGGCCCCCGATATCTCTTGGCAGTGTGACAGTCCTGACTTGCAGTTGGACTCTGGGGAAACGTCCTCTCACCTTAGTGTTACTTAAGGACACAACTGAATGGCTTGTGTGCTCTGATTCCTGTTGTCACCCTGCCCAGATGTCACTCCTGAACTGGGAGGATTTTGCTGTTAGTGTCTGCAGATGCTGTGGGAGAACAGTGGAAGCATCTGCTGAAAATGCTTATTGCAGATTAAAACCCATCTACGTTCAGAGGAACTCAGATCTCCTTGTTTTGGCACAAGCC